CAGACAAAACATTCATGTGACCTATACTTAAAAAATGACAGGGTGTTGATTACACAGCTGTGGTTGCCACCTCAACTCTTTTGGACTCCCTTGTGGTACAAAACTGTCCTTCGGCTGCATTCATTGAAAACAGAATTCTTCCTACACACAACCCCTGAAGCCTGGAATGTAACCCTTCCAAAGGTTTCCACTTGACATTTTTAACAGAAGGGGGAAACATTAATTACACAGAAAGTAATTAAGTACAGTTAATACAAAGTTTTGCATATATTTAAATGTCAGTGAAAACAAAGCCAATAGATCTTTATCCAGGCTTCTCAAATTTCTTTGCCCTGTTTTATCAGCTCTTTGGAACAAGGTCCTTAGTATTCTCCTCAAAGGCCAGGTGAGGACATCTGATCAAAAATGTTGGGTCTTTCCGTTACTGGCATGCCAGTCAGATTAATGTGAATGTTAATTCTCTCAGTGCAGCTATGAAATTGTCTGGTATAATTGGATCACAAAGGTAGCAAAGAACTCAGGCTCAAAATATGAAGAAAGGGTTGCGGGGAGGTACTTAATGTCTCCACAAATCCCAGCTCTGGCACTCATGCACCTTTTAGCCTCCTAACTCCTGGACGAAGGAGAAACAAATATGGTTCACTGGGCCAATCCATTGAGCATTACTGAATCCATCAGTGTCAAGAGGGTTTGGTGAGGCAGTTTTTAAAAAAATCATGGAATGTATTTTCATAATAGGTATATGCATTTAAATTGAGAGGATTGGGACTTTATGAATTTGTGGCAGAGCTGACATTTGATCTACTGATGTCTGACTGTAGAAAACTCTTGATGGGAGATGAATCTTATTATCCACGTCATAAAGCATGTATTTACTTGTACACTCCCCCCCCCGAGTCACACAAAATTTGGAAGATAAGGTATTCATTTTTCTTGACACTGGCATATTTTTTTGGTCCAGGTTACCCATCAGGGGCAAGCTTCCATGGAGGCCAAGAAAACTTCTACTATCACTCAAAATATTGATAAAACAGGTAAGATATAACATACAATAGACAAGATTAAAGGATTAAAAGAAGCCCACCCAGCAAACAATCTATTCATATAGGCTGGTTGCAAAATAGACCCAAAGTTAAACACTGGAAATTTCATTAAATCGTCAAGACAGGTCATGCCATGAAGGTTGACTCAATGGCATTTATATTTATTTTTGTCCATTTATTAGCCTTGTTCTATTCAACAACGCATATGTCCTACAGATGTGAAGAGCAATGTGTGTAAAAGTTACCAATTATACGTTAAGTGTGCTATGCCTACCTGCTGTTAGAGTTGCAATAATACGGTTTTCAGCAATTTCCATGAGGAATACAGAAAATTAAATGGAGGTAGAAATAAAACACTAAACAGGGAGCTAAAACACAGCTTGAGATTAAGATAACTGTTAGACGAATAAAGACATCAGTATAATTCACCTTGGCTCAGAACATACATAATTCTAAGCCAGGATTTCATTGTTTGTTAGACAAGGACTGTGAACCAATTTGCAGAGAATGCTAAGCCATAATGGGTCAGTTCACACTTCATTGCTAAGCTCAAAAACAAACAAAGCACATGGCTTACCACTCTGTGTGAATCCGTTTTAAGCATATTGTTTGCTAGACAATCTTCAAAGGAAACACAGTTAACTTTCACCAGTTTAAGCAAATCCTTTTTTTGTTTTGCTTTTTTTGTATCAGATATGTGTCCTGAACAACTGAGCAGCATTTAATGATAGCAGATATTGTTATCACAATGTTAAACAGGAGTTCTATAATATGCAGGTGCCACTGCATCACTTAGAAATCCCAAATTCCCCTTGCACATAGACAAATATTACAGCAGAAAATGCTCGAAGTTGGTCCAGAACATCTGAAGGGCACTTAAGGAAGTTTTTTCTGCCTATTATATTACATACAAATATTAAGAATGACAAGACTAGGCTTACCTTAAAGGTCCATCAAACACACCCCTTATCCTTATAAGAACACAGTTCCTTCAGCCTCGCTTTTATAGATTAATGTACATAATCATTAGAGCCAAGATGTGAGCTTCCTGTCAACGCTGCTAATATTGAATATATCCTTTGCAGGAAGTTTGGTATTAGTATAAGACCTTTAGTTAGGTTTTAGTATTGCAATGGATTGAATAAATATATTTCAATCAAACATATTGCAGAATTCTGCACAGTCTTTAGAGCACTTTCTCTCTTGAAGAGAGGAAAGATGGAGACTTTTGAGCTGTGCTTTTTGGTCATTTTTTTTTTCGTGCTGCACGATGAATTATTTTTCAAACATTGGTGTATCGTGGAACACAAATAGAGGCCTGCGGACACACGGGATAGGAAGGAAAGCCTAACTTCAGTAGAACACAAGGCATCCCCAGGGTGACTAACCCTAATTCAACTGACTATTTTAAAAACCCTCTTGGTTTCCTTGTCATGTCCTAGGAATCAATGCATCTGTGAAAGAGGAGATTCCAAAGATCTCTACACAATGTTTGAAGCAGCACTTTGAGAAAACAACCCAAGGAAAGACATTTCATTCTGGACGAGAAAATGGAACAGCTCCAAAGCAGATCAAGGTCAGAGATGGGGCAAAAGGAATTTAGCAAATAATGAATTGTTGCCACTCTGATCAGGAAGCAAAACTTTATTTTTGAGTAACCGTAACGGTAAATTTAGGATAAAATATATAAAATGTATTTATATAATAGTTAGAATGCAGTTTTTAGTGAACAAATGAATCAATAAAGCTGTTATTTAATTTCTCGCAAGACAGAGGGGCTGGCAACTGTTCTTCCCGCCAAGACTTTACTACCGAAGTGGGCCTTCCAGAATGTGGCCTGAACTTCCAGCATCTCTTACCAACAGGGGTTGTGGGAAGTTGAAATTGGGCAATTCAGATAGCCCTCAACTTATGACTAAAATTGAAGCCATTGCTAAACAAGGTGGTTGTTGAGTTGTGCCCAATTTTATCATCTTTTTCACCATGGTTGTTAAGTGTAGTTCACTGTAGTTGTTAAGTGGATCGCACAACCATTAAGGGAATCTGACTTTCTCCATTGACTTGGCTTCTTGGAAGCCATTTGGGAAGGTTGCAGAGGACGATCACATGACCTCAGGATGACACAATCATGACATGATGCAATCATACATGTCAGTTTGCCAAGTGCCTGAATTTTTAGCACTTGAGCATAGGGATATCGCGATAGTCATAAGCGCGAAGGCCACACATAAGTCACAGTGCTGTTGTAACTTTGAATGGTCACAAAATAGATGGTTGTAAGTTGAGGATTACCTTGGCTGAAATATTACATGTTGACTGTACATGAGTGAGTAGTGAGATCTGATGAGACAAGCTTACTTTTGATTTCTGAGAATCCAAGAATGCTGGGATTTTAGAAAAACCGTGACAGAGTTTGAACTGTCCCGTAACATTCTTTGAATTGTCCATCCACTCTTACTTCATTGTGCCAATACTGGGGTCCTTGAGCACAGTCTTTGGATCCAGTGGGCTAGTACCTTGCCTCTCTGTCTTAAGCATAGACTTTGATCAATTCCAATCTATAAGTAGACTATTGTGCTTTAAAATATTTTTCTGTTTTGCTAAAATCTTTTCCTTGCTAGTTTACTTTGTGTCCTGTTACTTTCCAGTTCTCATTAAAAAAAAGTGTAGGCCCATGACTGCTACATTTCTTACTATGAGATTAAAAACAGAGAATAATATTATTTAAAACTGGTTTCTGCACATTCTGGTGTAGATTTCTCATACTGCTATAGTTTCAGGTGAGTCAGATCATGTATGGATCATAGAATATGTGAAATCAACCTGATGCCTCATACTGAAGGATATTTTGCAAAAGCTATGTCCAAACTCTGGTTGATTAGCTCATTATAGCACTGAGTCAACTATATGTTAGAAATCTAAAAGCATCCCCTGAAAATAAATTTAAAGGCATATTATTTTCTCTTCTAAAGATTGAAAATGGGTATCAAGAAATGGTGCGGCCTTCTACAAATTTTCATTCTTCTGCTGAAGCTACTTCTACGAGTAGAGAACAGGGAACGTATATGGCAAGGAAAACAGAGCACACGTCTGCTGCCTCAACTCCAGCCTATAACAAGTTTCCAAAGTATGGCAGTACAGAGGAATTTCCTCCTCCACCACCACCAGATTTACTACAGGTTCCCTCTGGAATGACGGAGTTTTCCCAGTCCCCTGAACCCGCTCTCTCTCCATCCAAGCAAGTTCTTCCCAAAGATTTATATTCCAGGCAAAGAAATCTTTATGAATTAAACCGTTTATACAAACACATTCACCCTGAATTAAGAAAGAATTTAGAAAAAGATTACTTCAAGGAAATTTCTGATATAGTCTCTGGTAGCAACACTGAAATGGATAGCTCAGTAGTAGTAGATGTACTTCAGGCTAAACAAGTCTTTGAAAACAGAGAAAGCAGCCCTCAAAAAAGCATGAGCCCAGAAAGAGAATATTTAGAATGGGATGAGATCCTAAAGGGAGAGGTCCAATCTATGAAGTGGATTTTTGAAAACCAGCCCCTGGATTCAATAAAAGATGAATCTCCCGACCAAAACAATGTTAAAAGCATTGCAGGTCAAGAAATAATTGCTGGGGGAGATGTTAAGTATACTACCTGGATGTTTGAAACACAACCCATGGATGCACTGAGTGCAAATTTTTCAGACGACGCAGGAACGGCAGATCGAATACCAGACCTGGCCCGAGGAGATGTCCACACAGCCACGTGGATGTTTGAAACTCAGCCACTGGATTCAATGAATAAAATTCACCATGAGCAGGAAGAAGAAGAATCAAATGAAAATTTGGTCAACGAAATCACCGGTGGAGATGTCAAAACAGTGAAATATATGTTTGAAACACAGAACTTGGATAGTCTTGGGCAGCTTTATTCGGTGGATGAAGCTAAGCTGTTGCAACTCAGATCAGAACTAAAGGAGATTAAAGGTGATGTAAAGAGAAGCATAAGGCATTTTGAAACATTACCGTTGTATGTTATTAGAAACAATTTAGGTCAAATGCTAGAAATTAAAACAGTTCACAGAGAAGATCTGGAGAAAGGAGATGTCAAAACAGTCCGTTGGATGTTTGAAACTCAGCCTCTCGATGTTATCAACAAAGAGGCGGTGGAAATCAAAGTTGTCCATGGAATTTCCATGGAGGAAAACATTAAAGGTGAAGTGAGCAGGGCAAAATGGTTATTTGAAACCCAGCCTTTAGACACTATTAAAGAGTCTGAGGAATCTGCTGGAGAAAAAGAGATTGTTCTGGGCACTGATGTCTGCAGAAAATGTTGGCTGTTTGAGACTCAGCCTCTGGATACCTTAAAAGAAAATGAAGACACAAATGCTTTCCCCGCCGTAGAAATAATCGGAGGAGATGTAAATGCTACTAAACACCTATTTGAAACATTGCCCATGGATATGTTAAAAGACAGCCCAGATGTTGAAAAACTTCAAAAAATGGCTGCAACGGAGGAAGAGAAAGGCGATGTGAAGCATCAGAAATGGATTTTTGAGACGAAACCTCTTGAACTGATTAGAGAAGAAAGAAAAGAATTCATAAGAACGGTGAAACTGGAGGAAATTGACAAGGGAGACGTGAGCAGCTATAAGCAGGCATTTGAAACGTGTTGCTTAAGCAAACGTAATGACTCAAACAAAATCCAGGTTGAAGGCGTAACAAGAGGTGCCGTAAAATTTAATAAAGACATTTTCGAAACCACCCCATTATACGCTATCCAGGATAATCTTGGGAAATATCATAAAGTTAAAACAATTCGTCAAGAAGAGGTGATCCAAGGCGATGTCAGAAACTGCAGGTGGCTTTTTGAAACAAGGCCTATCGACCAGTTTGATGAGAGTATTGAGAAAATTGAGATTATCAAAGGAATAACCTCCAAAGAAGTACAGTCGGGTGATGTGAAAACAGCAAAATGGCTGTTTGAAACGCAGCCTCTAGACTCCATTAAATATTTTAGCAATGTAGAGGAGGAAGAAAGCAAGCCACAGACGGAGGCTATGGAAGTGGTCAAAGGGGATGTCAGGATGTGCAAGTGGTTATTTGAAACTCAGCCAATGGAATCTCTGTATGAGAAAGAGACAACAGTAACAAACACTGATGAAATGCAGAGAGGAGATGTGAAAACATGTACCTTGCTATTTGAAACACACTCTCTTGATGCAATAGGGGTAGAATCAGAAACAACTAATAAGCTACACACAGTTGAGCAAGAGGATATTCAAGGCAGTGATGTCCGCACAGCGTGTTTCCTTTTTGAGACGGAAAAGCTAGAAAATATACAAGGAGAAGAGGACAAAGAACTCAAGCGGACTGTGGAAATTGATATCCAGCCTGGTGATGTCTCTACCATGAAATATAAATTTGAGACGCAACCATTAGACTCACTCAGTATCAACTCAGAAGAAGTTCTGAACAAAATTAAAACCATACAAAGTGAAGATATACAAAAAGGAAATGTTTTGCATTGTTGTTGGCTGTTCGAAAATCGGTCCCTAGGTGAGATTTCAGAGGACAAAGAAGAAAGGACCTGTGCCCAAACTATTACAGATGTACAAGATGGGCATGTGAAAAATGGTTGTTTCATCTTTGAGACGTTTTCTCTGGACCAGATTAAAGATGAAGAATCCGTGGATGAAAGTATCGAGAAAACCATAAACCAAGAAGAAATAACAAAGGGGGACGTGAAAAGCTACAAAATGCTTTTTGAGACCCAGCCACTTTATGCAATTCAGGACACAGAAGGATATTATCACGAAGTGACTACAGTTAGGAAGGAAGAAGTTATCCATGGAGATGTACGTGGGACCCGGTGGCTATTTGAAACGAAGCCTTTAGGCTCAATAAACAAGTCTGAAAATGTATACGTTATAAAATCAGTCACCCAGGAAGATATCCAGAAAGGAAATGTTAGCTCAGTTAGGTACCGATTTGAAACACAGTCATTGGACATGATTTCAGATGAGGAGAAGTTCATTGTTCCCACCGTTAACAGTGTCCAGGGTGGCAATGTGAAAGCCAACAAGAAATTATTTGAATCCGAAGAAACCCTGGGAGACAAGTATGTGAGAACAGTGAATGTCAGCGAAATACAACAAGGCAATGTGAAAACATGTACTTGGCTATTTGAAACACACACGATTGATGAAATTAGAGGGGAAGATTCAGAATATAAAGACATCCAGACAGTAACGAGGGAAGACGTTCAGGAGGGGGATGTTCAGCATGCACTATGGCTCTTTGAAAACCAGCCTCTGGATTCCATTAAGGAAACTGAGGAAACTGATACAAAAATAGATAAGGAGGAAATTCCACAGGCTGACGTGAAAACCACCACGTGGCTTTTTGAAACCACACCTTTCCATGAATTTAATGAAAGTAGAATTGAAAAGGAGGAAATTGTAGGAAAAAGCGTGAAAGAAACTTTAAAGGAACTTTATTCACAGAAAGTGGTAGAAACTCATGGAATTATCTTGGAGGCAGATGAAATTGGAGATGTCCGCATGGCAAAATATAAGTTGATGAATCAGGAAGCTCCTGAAATACAAAAGGAAGAGATTATTAAAGGAGACTTAGCCAGCATAATGATAAACCTCCTGTCCAAACGAAGTTCTCTGGAAAGGGAAACTAAAGTAAATGAAGATGAAAAAGGCAACATAAATTTGACCAAAAAGCAACTGATGAATAGCTCAACAGCTGTGCATGTTGAAAAGGAAGAGGTAGTGAGAGGTGATATACAGCAAGCCATTAAAAAACTGTTTAATAAGGATCGTTCTGTAAAACGTGGGATTTTAATTCAGGAAAGCGAAAGGGGGGATATTAATATGACAATCTATTCTCTCTTCCACAAAAAAGAAAGCAATAAAGTTGAACAAGGTGAAGTTATGGGCGGTGATGTAAAGCGTACAATTCACAGTCTTCTCTCTTCTGTAATGAATCATGAAATATCAGAAAGACCTAAAATAGATGATTCAGAAAGGGGCAATGTTCAGTTTTTTACAACTTGCATAGAAGCTGGAGCTTTGGACTATTTGAAATTACTCCAGTCAGAGACAAATGAAACATTTGCAAGCAAAAATCAAGATGAGGAAGAGGAAATAATGGGTGGAGATGTTGAAGGCACTAAATTATTACTAAAGAAAAAGAAGTCTCAAATAGAGCGGACAGTTAATGAAGCTGACATAATTCCTGGTGATGTCTGTAATGCCCTTAAGATCTTTACGACTGAGGCACAAAATACATCTTGTCATGTAGACAAAGAAGAAATTATAAAAGGTGATCTGAAGACAACTTTAAATTCTCTAAGTCAGGCTATTAATCAGACCGCTGTTACAGAGAAGGAAGAAATTGCAAAAGCTGACATCCATGCAATTTTGAAGTCTCTTCAAGAATCAGTTTATCAACCAAGAGAAACAGAAAAACCAGAGGTCATTCCTGGTGATATTAAACAGACCATTGAATCTCTGGAGAAAGCAATACAAACAAAAAATGAAGTCTTAAGAGAAGAGGTTGTCCAAAATGACCTTGAATCTACACTAAGATCTTTAAAAGCAGTTCAGCAATCTTTCAAGGAAACAGACAAAGAAGTAGTCAGAGGCAATACTCAAACTGCTATAGAGAGTTTGCTGGATACCTCTGAAGAAACAAAATCAAGGCAATGCCAAAGATTCACAGAGGCAGAGGCAAAACAAAGTAATGAAATGCTGATGAAGCCATCTCGACAATCAGTTCAGAATAAAGTCAATCCAACTGAACGCGTAAAAAGCAATAATACATTTCTTCAGAAGGAAGCAATGTCCCAAAAGAAGAGTTTTCTCAAAGAAGATGCCAAAGCAATCCATTTGGATCAGAGATGGAACACCAAGAGTCATGAGATGGAGAAAAAAAATATGAAGGCCTTATCTAAATCTCAGCACAAAGTCACCGAAAAAGCAGATACGTCTGTAGATAAAGTCACAGCAAAGAGACACAGAGATCAGTATGTGATTGATCAATCTACTTTTTGCAATAACGTTGAGAAGAATGAAAGATCAGAGGAATCAGAGGCAAGCAGAATCTCGATGAAGGGCCATTCAACCAGTGACATGCAGGCTGCAAAACAAATGACGGGAAAGAAACAAAACATCTTTCATGAATATAAAGATGAAAAATATGTTGATGTGAGAAGTCAGGGTGAGACGAAAGCAAAATCAGTCCAGCCAACATGGGATCACCAGAGCTTCAATTACAGAGGGACCCCCGAACAACTGATCAACCAGTCAACTGGCCTGATTTCCAAAGCAGCTGGTCATCTTGAAACAAAAGAGGTGCAACAAGACAGAAAGCAATCTCAGCATTCAAAGGAGGTTTGCAGAGGGAAGAAAAATAATGTTATGGCAAGCCAAGCTCAGGTTTCCATGGCATCAGAGCAGAATGTAAAAACCAATCAAAAAGTCAGAGTCACACAGGAAATGCACAAGCAATTTAAAGAAGCTGAAAGGAAGCAAAAGTGGAGTGAGAAATCCATTTTGAAGTACTCAGGAAAATCTAAAGTTGAAGGTGCTGATGAAGACTTGAGGGTTCAGGTGAAAAATCCTGGGAATCCATACAGGAACCCTAAAGGCTTTGATAGGTCAGAAATTGATTCTCCATCACCTCCTCCTCCTCCACCACCTCCACCTACACTTCCATTGACTTCATCTGAAGTTGACTCTCCTTTGCCACCTCCACCCCCTCATTTATTGATGCCTTGTGCTAGACAGAGATTTCCTTCTCCACCGTCACCATCAAATGAAGGGGTTAAGACAGAGCATGAGAGTTTTCCTCCTCCACCGCCCACTACAGAAGAGAAATATGACAATGAATTGACATCTCATCTGCCACCCCCACCTCCCCCTCAGCCGAAAGATCATTTCTTCAAAAGCCTAGACAAATCAGTTCAATCTCAGAACAAGATCCCATACAACACAAAGCATCTTCAGACGGAACTTATAAAAGAATTAGAAGAGAGCCAGTGCAAAGCTTCTAGAAAAATGCAACCAAGGATTATTCAGATGCCCAAAGAGGTTGATAAAGCAAATACCATGGAAGAAAAGACAGAATGCTCAATGTTAAGGAACACTGTTAGTCATGAAAGAAAAGAGAAGAAAGTCTGCACAAAAACTGAAGATGTTAAAAGGGTCGCGTCAGTTATGGAAACTATCGGTCTGGAAGTATCACCATCGAATAAGACATTTCCACATTTTAGGTCTCCTTCTCTTCCAGCAGAGGCAACACAAGCATCACCTAAGCCTAATGTACGGAAATTTAAAACTCCTTTAATGATTGCAGAAGAAAAATACAAACTGCAAAAGGAACAGATGGAACAAAAACAAGCCAAGGATGTTTGTCAACTACATGTAAGAAGGAACAGTGAAACATGGGGAAGATCAGCTCAGGCAGAGTCAGAAGGTGGCCTGCCAGTGCCAAAATCATATAAACAGGATGAAATCATTCGGTCTTTGCCCTCTGAAGTTCCAGCTACACCTACTGAGCCTGAATGCCAAAGAAAGCCTCAAGTCACCAACTCAGAGGCTGATGACCTACAGCCCTTAGCAAAACAATCAATGCCTGAACAGTCTCAAAACGTTTCAAAGTGCTCGGCAGAAGAACACGTCAGGAAAAAAGCAGTCCATGAATCACAACATCTTATAAAACAGAGTGTATCTTCTGAAAAAGTACAGACCCACCAAGAACATGTAATGAGCAAGAAAGAGCAGCACCAAAAGGAACAGTTGCATGTGTCAAGTAATAAAGCAGTATGCCCTTCTTTCAAAGTTAGAACCATCCAGGATCCCGCTTGTGATCACACCTTACCTAAAGGCCAGAAGGATTCCATGATTTATAAAAAGCAAGAGGGATCAAGTGTGCATGGGGTTCTGAAGCAACAAGTTCAAGAAAAACAGAAAGAAAAGATAAGTAAGAAAAGTGCTGCAGGTAGTTGTATGAAAATGGATGGGAAAATCCACATGGAAAAAACACTTGATAAATACACAGAAGGCAGACAAGAAATAGGGGATAAAGAATCCAGTGGAATGAAACAGAGATTAATTCAAAGAAAGGAAACAGAGAAGGACAACATGAAACAAGAAAAACATTCTTTAGCTATGGAAGGAAAGGAAAGCCAGGTAATTGCTCACCTCAAAGAAGAGAAAGGAATAATTCAAAGAAAAGAACAACCGGCTAGCAGTAAATCAGAAAAAATGGTTAAGCAAAAAATAATCAATATACATAACAAATTTCAGACTGTGCATTCTGAACCAGAACCAACTTTTGTTTTGGAGACAAATGTTCAGAATAAAAACCTGTCTCAGGAAAAAAATAATCTACAAGGACAGGGAGAATATATCTGGGAAATTACCCCAGAACAGAAAAAAATCCCTCATAAAACACCAGAGCCAAAAAAACAGCTTGTGCAAGAAAAAATGCTACCATCTAGTTTACCAAGAGAATCCCTGCAGAAAAGTGAGAAAAACTCAGTAGACATATTAGAATTGTTGAGAAAACGGGAGGAGATACAACAGCTGTTGTCCAGATTGAAAGAATTTGAGATGGAACCAAGTAAAAATGGGATGAAAACATTCCAGGTGTTCTTAAGTGTTATTCCAGAATGGCTAGTAGAACAAGAAAAGAAGCAAGACTTAAGTTACATTGCACAGGAAGACAGTGTTGAAAAGATGAGAGAAGAGTTGTTGGTTATTAAAGATCAAGCTTCCAAAATACTTCACTCATGTGAAGATGCAATCCAAGCAGCCATGATTTCAACAAATTCCCTGAAATGTAAAAAAAATGTTCATAGCACTGGAGGATCAACACAGAAAATAGCTAAAGTGACTATTGGATCCAGCAGAAAAGATTCACAGAAGACTAAAGAAATGTCCAAAGACACCATGGCACACGAAAAAGTAAAAGAGAAAGTAGGTGGAAACAGATTTTCAGAAATCAGAACTTCTTCACCATCTCTAAGAACACGAGCACCTTCACCTACTTACATCACAATTGAATCTAGATGTATTGAATCTCCTTTCGGGGATTTATTATCTCCAGTCCAAAGAGAAAGCCCTCCAGTTCCACCATCACCCCCACCAAGATCTACTACCCCAACATCTAAGATACAACAGTCATCTGCCCGTTCTGAGCAGCTTGCAAAACTTAAAGACACTACAGTAAAACTATCTCAAGGGGCAATCCCAAATAGATCAGTAACTCCAATTCCTATTGTGGAGAAAAGGTCAGAGATTGTTAAATCTCCTGCAACCCTCCGTCGGCAAATCAAGATTGATACACGTCAACCTGACATTTGCAAAGTACCATTTTCAAATGACACACATGTAACTGCAGAGGCAGTGAAGAAAGTCAAAGAAATGCATGAAGAATCCCAAGTAAATCAAATGTACATCTCTCAAAAGGGTGGGAGCATTCCAGAAGAGCCCCACGGACAAAGTGTAGGCTCTATTTCCATTGCACATCGCTTTGAGGTACCTAAGGCTGCTCCTAAAGGGCTTAGGCATAGGTATGAAGCATCTGACCAGGTGATTCACATAAGGAAGGAGCCAGACTTACCTGAAACATTTGGCAGTGACTTTGAATATAAAACAGATACAATGTCACAGACTTTCAATGATCAGACATTAAGTGAGGGAAAATCCAAGAACAAATACATTGAAAATGGTACAATGAGTGACAAGTCAAAGGAAGTGAGGTGTAGGTCGAGAAAGGGCCGACTTAGTCAAACTTCCCAAGAGCAAGACAACACAACAAATAATTTCCAAAAATCTCCTGGAAAGCATCAAAGAGAATCAAAGGAAACTGACTCTAAGAAGCAAAACCAGCATGTCATTAAAGAGCATTCTTGTGAACCCAGGGCGTGCCTTGATGCAAAGTCCCCCATGGAATGCTCCTATGGCATGGAGTCTTTTGGGAACATGGTCATTGAATCTAGAACCGCAACTTCCACCGCCCAGAGCACAGATGGGACTAAGTCAGGATTTGGCTTCAAACGGGCACCTCCAACCTACGAAGATGTAATCTCAGGGCATATCTTGGATATTTCTGCTCCCGATTCACCAGAAGATCTTTTAAGGAATTTTCAGAAGACTTGGCAGGAAAGTGAGAGAGTGTTTCAAAGCCTCGGCTACACCATGTCAGAAGCTACTGAAGCAGAAGTGAGAAGTAGTTTCCACGAGGAAGCAGAGTTTATCAGTGGTAAATAAGCATGCGATGTGTGAAGGAAGCTTTTAGCGTGTGCACCACGGCAATAAAACATTTTGTACAATTAAAATGCAGTTGGAAGGAGAAAGTAACATACTATAACTGCAGCTAACACTTCTTTACCTCTCCTTCTCTCTTTGCTCTCTCCCAGAAATCTCTATTCCCTTTCTAAAAGCATGTGCTTACTATATGTGCTGGGCATGTGGCTAACCAATACTGAGGGTTTGAAGTGTGGTCTCCCAAGGTAAAAGCTATATTTCAATTTTACTGATAAAATAATTTTCCTGAATTTTAATTAAAAGAACTAATATATCACAAAATATATTTTATAGCAATTGTGTTGCTTCGCTCAAGTTGTTGTTGTTGTTGCTGTTGTAGAATTGCATGAGGCCCTTTGAGCAAATGCAGCATATTTTTTAAAAGTGCCATTTTTATGTAACACTTGTTCATTTTATAGGACAGAATCACTTCTTTTAGAACAAAGCCTTTTAAACTGGGGTGAGGGTTTGTGTGTGACAGCTGAAACAATTGTTCCAGGCTCTGCACATGGGGTGGAGTGCAATCCAAAGTGCTATTTACCAGTTGAAATAAATTATATTTATTGGGTGGTTACAATATTTTACTTGCCTGCCGAAGACCAAAGGACAATCAGAAATTGTTCTGAAGGCATTGAGGGTAGTGAAAGTAATTAAATTATAGCGGTAACAGAAGTTATATTTGTAGGAATGTTTGAATTTCGGAACACTATGGTCAAGTCTAATCATGTACAGGTAGGCCTTGCTTGGCAACTACAACTGGAACCAGTAACTTGTTTGCTAAACGAGGTAGTTGCTAAATGAAAAGTTATGTGATCGTGACGGGCAAGCGACCTTATTTCCCCTTAGATGTGGTCACTAAACAAACAAAAAATCACATGACTACAACTTATGACTTTACTTCTGCTTCTGTTTTAACTCTGTCACAAACTGGTTGTGAGGCAGAAAAATGATGAGAATACAATGTCTAGTTTAATGAAAAGAAGGACTAGGGTTAACATGATAGCAGTGTTCCAATATTTAAGGGGTTGCCGCAAAGAAGAGGGAGTCAAGCTATTCTCCAAAGCACCTGAAGGCAGGACAAGAAGCAACGGATGGAAACTAACCAAAGAGAGAAGCAACCTAGAACTGAGGAGAAACTTCCTGACAGTCAGAACATCAGTGGAATGATTTGGCTCCAAAAGTTGTGGGTGCTCCACTACTGGAGGTTTTTAAGAAGAGATTGGACAATCATTTGTCTGAAATAGTATAGGGTTTCCTGTTTGAGCAGTGGGTTGGATTAAAAGGCCTCCAAGGTCCCTTCCAACTCTATTATTCTGTTATGTTGTGATGGTCATAAATGCAAGGATTGGTCACAAAGCTATTTTTTAGTACCATTGTAAATTGTAAGGTTACATCTGTAAAAAAAAATAAAATAACAGATGACTCTCACAAATTGCAAATGGAACAAAGTAAGATTTTACCCTTCCTCCTTTCCCCTCCTGCCCATTAGGTCTCCCTGCAGGGCACAACATTTTCTTGGAAATTGTGAATTGGCACCTAGGAAGTAGGTTTGAAGAGAATTTTGACTGAATCAAAATGTATATCTGAAACTCTATGTCCTAACGATGTTTGGGAAAATTGGAAAAATTCTTTGAGAATTGGAGATAATTTCTTCTTTTGATTTCCCCCCACCCCCCAAGATTTTAGTGAAAGATTTTAGCTACTGGCTTTAATCTCCCAGAGTGCCTCTGGCATGATTTTAATCTGAGGCACTGTGGGAAAGTGGAATAGCCAGTTTGATTTAGTGGCTAAGGTACTAAGCTAGCAACCACGAGACTATGAATTCTAAGTCTAATGTAGTCTAGACTGTGAGTTCTAGAAAATAAAAATAAAATGGGGTTGTGGATCAGGGCTCTTCTTGGAAAAGTACTCACAAACAATAGCAGTGAGCACTCTGAAAAGTAGAATGGTGCTGGAAGCAAATAGCTATCTCTCCGATTACGTTCAAAATTCTTCATCTCCATCATCTCTGATTATGTTCAAAATCCACCATCTGCAGCTTCAGCCATGGAGAGTAGAAGAATAAAGTCTTGGTCAGTGCAAAAGGAACCGATTTCCTTAAAGGTATAAAAAAACCCAAAGAGCAGATTCATTTATAAACAGGATAGAAATCACATTACCCACACAAAAGATCAACAGTGCTGTTGCCATGAGCCCAGTCCATGGAAGACTGGTCTTGTTCCCCCAAAATGAATTGCGTTTTAGGAAATCTGCATTATAGTTCAACACTGTGGATTCAGTCCTTTAAAAATGCTTTCTGTTCTTCCTGTACATAATCAAACTTGCAATGAAATAGAAGCATTTCCATTGTGAATAGGAAGACGGAGAGGATGCGCTTCCAATGGGGAAATGTCACAAGCCTTCATTGCAACGGAAATGTAAAAATAGAAAGAAAGAAAGAAAGCATGAGTCATTTGTGCATTCATTTACCTTCACTTTATTGAAAATATTAAAGTGTCTTTAAATAAATATAAAAGTCCAGCATTAGTCGAAACAAAGAATTTATTTCATGGTAATGTGACTCACAGGAAGCTTAAGGGTTCATTATTTAGGAGTGAAGGTTCTCAGGTTTCCTAATGATATTGCAACTTTTTGTGCATAGCCTGAAGAAAAGAAATATAACAATATATAGCACTGACATCATCTCATTTATTTCTAGAAACTGCAACTTCAGGGAAAGGAAACATGCCTACTTTGTCAAAAGAGAGTTTATCCAATGGAGTGCCTATTGGCCGACAAGCAGATTTTCCATAAATCATGTTTTCGATGTCACCATTGTGGGAGCAAATTAAGGTAAGATGATGTGAGCAATTAAAATGTTAACATTCATGAATGTTATTTCAGTTGAATGAATGAATGACACTTGAGATGTTGAAAACAAATCAATATTTTTAGTGGTGCCACTAAACTCTATCCCGCGAAAGACTGTGTTGGATCACTTAACTTCTGCTTTGTCAGAGCATGAAATAGGGGAGACATGATAGCAGTATTCCAGTATCTGAAGAGCTGCCACAAGGAAGAGGGGGTCATGTTGTTCACCAGAGCACCAGAGGGAAAGACGAGAAACAATGGTTGGAAACTGATCAAAGAGAGAAGCAACCTGTAATTAAGGAGAAACTTCCTGACAGTGAGGACAATTAACCAGTGGAACAGCTTGCCTCCAGGAATAGAATAGAATAGAATAGAATAGAATAGAATAGAATAGAATAGAAATGGAAGGGACTTTGGAGGTCTTCTAGTCCAGCCCCCTGCTCAAGCAGGAGAACCTATATCGTCTCAGACAGGTGAATGTCTAGTCTCTTCTTAAAAATCTCCAGTGATCGAGCACCCAGGATTTCTGGGGGTAAGCTGTTCCACTGATTGATTGCCCTCACTGTCAGGAAGTTTCTCCTTAATTCCAGGTTGCTTCTCTCTTTGATCAGTTTCCAATCATTGTTTCTCGTCCTTCCATCTGGTGCTTTGATGAACAACTTGGCCCCCTCTGCCTTGTGGCAGCCCCTCAGATACTGGAACACAGCTATCATGTCTCCCCTATTTCTTCTTTTCTTTAGACTAGCCAAACCCAAGTCCCGTAGCCGTTCTTTGTATGTTTTAGTCTCCAGGCCTTTGATCAACTTAGTTGCTCTTCTCTGAATTTTTTCCAAACTCTCAGCATCTTTTTTGTGATATGGTGACCAAAATTGGCTGCAGTATTCGAGGTGTGGTCTTACTAGGGTTTTATAAAGCGGTAATAATACTTCACGTGATCTTGATCCTATGCCTCTGTTTATACAACCCAGGATTGTATTAGCTTTTTTGTTGCTTCTGCACACATTAGAAAATTACAACATTACATTACTTTTTGACATAATCGCCATTCAAATTGAGGCACTTGTCATAACGTCTTACAAGGTTTGAAATTCCTTAGTAGTAGTCGCTCGATGCCAAATCTGGGTTATGGGGGTGTGTGATCAAAAACATCCCAACAGAACTGCTTCAAACGTTCTTGGGTCTGTCTAGCAGTGTACGAGCAAGCATTATCGTGAACCAACATCACACCAGAAGTCAGCATGCCCCGACGCTTGTTATGGATGGCTCGTCTGAGTTTTAGTAACATTTCACAGTAGACTTCTGAATTAATGGTCAAACCATGCTCATGAACTTCACTAGCAGTACTCTTTTGGCATCTTCACATTTGGCAGGATTTTCTAGTGGGGTGTTGGTTCACGATAATGCTCACCTGCACACCGCTAGATGCACCCAAGAACTTTTGAAGCAGTTCCATTTCAAACCTTGTAAGACAGGGGTGTCAAACTCGCAATGTCACGTGACGTGTTGCAACATATATTGACTTTTTTGCCATTGCCGGCAATGAGGTGGGCGTGGTTTTGCTATGATGCATCCGACCTGCAAGACGGCAGTTTGACACCCCTGTTGTAAGACGTTATGACAAATGCCTCAATTTGAATGGCAATTATGTCAAAAAGTAATGTAATGTTGTAGTTTTCTAATGTGTATAATAAAAGCTCTGTATCTGTCTGTCATTGATAACCAAACAGAGGTTTATTTCCGAATTGCCCTCGTACATTTGGCACAAACTGCAATGACATGAAAATGACAAAACATCACAATGCAAACTTTGATTGGCACTTGCATTGCAAAGTTGGAGCCAAGCATCTGCAAGTCACATGCTTTCCATTATTATCATAATTGGTTGCACAGTCAGCCAGATATTTAGACTGACTTAGCATTTTTATCTACCTATCAAATCCTGCCCAAGGATCTGGGATAGACAAATGTTTGATGGTGTTAAAAATATCATTGCAAGATGCTGTTCCAAGTAAAGCTGTCTTTTACAGTTGTTGTTACTTATATTATTTTATCATACATACATACATGTATATAAAAAATAAAATAGGTGGTGAACATACCCCAAAATCTTGCTTTCTATTTTCTCCACACCAACCTGCAATGCATTTTGTTATTCTCCCATTCCTTTTACCTAGTGATGCCATATAAGAGAGTAAGATCAATTCCAATTAAAGTATCATTTTTTTAAAAAAAACTATAAAAATGGCACTGATAGTGAACGTATGCTGAAACTGATGTATCACAGTTGGATCCCATACACAGTAATCCACTGTAAATGTCAAAGTCACGCAATTTTGAAAGATGATAGAATAATATTAAGGTTCTAAAAAAGTCAGATTTTCTGTGGCTTTGATAAGAGACCTAAGAAACTAAGGGAAACCACAGGAACAATGAAGTGGCATGCCTACCCCACAAACATTGGGAGGCTCAAAGATGACTATTCTAAAATAAAAATATGGGAGCATTTCATATCCCTCAGGTTACTTTGCTGGATATTATAGAAGATGTCAAAGAAAAAAGTAGCAGAGATAGTAAATGCAAATTATCAATTTATCCCCTGTTGTTTTTAAACTAAAAATATTGTTTCAGTAAGGATTACTAAAGATATTTAACAGACATTTAAGACAAATATTAACAAAGAAAGTACAAAAGGCTTCTCTTCCCACACATCAAATGGACATATGATCTTCTTTTTATGTTCTCTGAGATTGTTGGGTTTTTTTTGCAGATGTTTCATTATCAAACTAGGTAATATCATCAGTGCTTGAAGGGAATGGGGTTTGTCCTTATTTTTATATACTAATGGCCTGCCCTATCAGTATTGGTGGGAATGTCCTTGGTGCTTCCTTCACTAGGCTGTTGTTTACTGTTACCTTGTTTGTCTGCTTTGGTAAGGTTAGTTGATTTCCCTATTGAATGGTATATAGATGTTGTTTATCTCTATGTGCCTGTTGATGGCTGGTTTGTCTGAGTGCCAGGCCTCCACAAATTCTCTGGTGTTTGGGGACTCGGCTTGGTCTAGAATGCTCAGTTTCCCAGTTGACACCATGGTTGACTCTGTCCATGTGTTGTGAAATTAAGAAGTTTTTATTGTGTCTTCTGACTGCAGATTATTGCAGATGATTGTCTTAAAAGATGAGCAGAAATTAACACTATGATTAACCCTAGACCAACAATCAAGAAGTAAACAATACCCACTCAAGGAGCTACAAATACAGACAAATAAGCTAACAGTAAACAGCCTAATCAAAGAACTACCAAGATTACTCCCACCAAGACTGACAGGGCAAGCCACTAATATTAAAAATAAGAACAAACCCCACACCCTTCTAGCACTGTTGTTACCTAGTTAGGTAATGAAACATCTGCAAGAAAACCACCAAGCTCAGAGAGCACTAAACACCCCACACTTTCGTCCTGAGCTACAAATAGTCTATTCTATTGGAACTTCTTTTTAATTTCCACAATGAATGGAAAATGTTGAGCATGTAGCAATTCTGTTAAAATCATGGAGCTACACAGAATTGATCCTACGACTGTCAAATTTATAATTAACTTTCAAAATATTTTGCTTTAAAATACACTAAGAAAAAGACTTCTTTGATCTATTCTGTGCTACTTATTTCATGAAGAGTGAAATTAAGCATTTAAAGCCCAATCTTAAAAGTGCACAATTTGGAGTTAGATTAAATCATATGCTGAGCAATCCCATAAATATTCATCATGGCTTAAATCCAACATATGACTAAATATTGATCTAAGAATATTATTTAATTTATTGGTATAATATGGAGAGAGAGAGAGAGAGAGAGAGAGAGAGAGAGAGAGAGAGAGAGAGAGAGATAGATTTATAAATACTAAAATTACAGTTAATTACAGCTAAAACATTCTTGGACTATTTATGATTGAAAAATACTCTAAAACGTTTTTTCTTTGATTTGACAGCTTAGGAAATTATGCTTCTCTCCATGGTAAAATATATTGCAAACCACATTTTAAGCAACTTTTCAAATCCAAAGGAAATTACGATGAAGGCTTCGGACACAAGCAACATAAAGAATTATGGATTTCCAAAAATCAGAAAGGCCCTATTAGTTGTGCTCCTGCTAAAGAAGTTCATAAATCCATATCAAAAGTGAATAAAACAACTGCTCATATGCAGCATGCTGGCAATCCACAAGTCCATTGTGAAACTATGAATGATGATTTAAAACAGAATACAGAGAGGGGCAAATTAAACATTATGTGGCCTCCGTCTATAGAAACTCCCAAAAATTCACTCTCAAGTGACATGGTTACAGTAAATAAACCAAAATGGCCCCCTGAAATTTCTGAATATGAGACTGACAGAATTAATACGAATCTTTCTGTGGGTGACACAAGCCAACAACAGTTCGCAAATGGTAATAGCCATCTACATTCAGACAACCATTCCTCTCCCACTCCTGTGCCTAAGGAAGAGGAACCTACTAATGTTATGACAGCAAAGACATGCGGTGACGAGAATGGAATCATGCAAAAGAGAGCAGATGTGGCTAATGACTCAGAGAAGGAAAAAGCAAGTGAAAGCAATGATAAGGTGGCCGTGCAAAGTACTAACAAGGAGAAAGATGGAGAAAATAATGAAACTAATGTTGCTGAAGTTATACCAGTTACAAACACTGATGATGATGATGTTGAATGGCAGAGTAATCAAAACAGTACTATGAACAATAATAACAACAACAACAATGATAATAATGGCTTTCAAACTACTTTTCCACATCACAAACTCTGCAGTCAGGGAACATCGTTCGAGGATGGTCCCATTTACAGTAGTGGGTCAGGGAAAGAATCCTGCCTCCCAATCTACATTTGAAAGACTAGAAAGATGTGAGGTAAATTCAGAGGTGCTCTACATACTTGACTCGGAAGTCGGCTTTTCCACAGAGGTTTTCAATCTCACAGACATTGAAGAAAGCATCAAAGGAGACCATTTCATTACCTCAGAGAGTCTTATTCGGCAGAAAAATGAAGATGCCCATTGTGAAAAACAATGCATTAACAACAAAGTCATTTTAAAGGAAGTGAATTTTGCAGTATTTCCTTTTGAAGGCAAATTACCAGACAGTAAGGAATCAATGAAATATGTCAAAACATTAGGTGCTATTTCATGTGATCAAGCGGCAACAGAGTTTTTACTGGGAAATGACAGAATTGGTCTATTTGGCTCTATAGCCCCAACCAAAAATGTTGATTGTCCACATTCTGAAGACTGCATGGATTACCATAGTACAATTTGTCAGCCTGAAGGAAAGGAATGCAGAAAGATGAAAGCGGATATTTAGATTTGCTAGCTTAAACGATAGAGTTGTTTTGTCATCTCAAAAAGGACAAATCAGAATAGGCCACCCAAGTAAATGTGAGCAAATTAAAAAAAAAGGTGTCAGAATGACGATCATTAATATGTGCCCTTGAACTGACCAAAGCAAATCGGCAATTTTCTTTGAAGAATTGGTTAAAAACTTATGTATTTCTAATTTGTGGAATATATATTTTCAATCTAGTTGCCTACCAGAATTTTGAAAGAAATAATTATCTACATTTGTACTGGAAAACATGCTTGAACTTAATTTGCTTAAAATTCATTAGAATCCATGTATATCTAGAGTCATTTCATGTATATTTGAAAGTTACATACCTGTACTTCTATTTTTCTTTACAGTTATTAAGGATTACTTCATAGGTGTATGCAAGTCACCTTTCAGGGAGTAAAATGAAAAATATCTTTTTAAGATGACGAAGCGTAAATGAAATCTGTGAGCATTTCCATTCCCATTACATATGGAAGCCATCACTTAGAATTGCAGCCAAGTGATGAACATTTATCTACTCTTTGAAAACAAGCTGTAAGATTCTCTTACTACTGCACTATTTCAGTGTTATGCTTTAACCATTGTAATGAATTTAGAGATTATGCACCTGGTGTGCTCTAAGCGCTAGACAAATATTTCTAAAATTATTTTTTCACCTACTGTTTTACTGTAACAAAGCTGTTCTATGATATAGTAAGTACATTTTGGGTTGTTTTTTTTAGCTTATAAGCATTACACCCTTTTTCCCCAAGAAATATTGAAATACAAGTACTCAATTGAACTAAATGATCAAAATGCAATATAGTTCCCTCACCATTTATGAATGATAGTCCTTATTTTTTGTTTTCCTAGAGTACATTTGCCTTGAAAGTTTTCAGGCCATGTAACATGCGCATTTTGTTCCTTGAAAACCAACAAGAAGGAGCAGAATCCAACAAAACCTGAAATGTGCATTGCTGAATACAATTGGAAAAAAAAAGATGCATGGGATTACCCATTAACAGTTCAATTCTATTCATGTCTACTGAGAAATAAGTCCCATTAAGTTTAATGGACTTTGCTCCCAGAAATATAGGATATTAACTCTCTTTTCCTTTAATGAAAGAAAATTAAGCTGATTATCTTCCACTGATTCCAGTAGGAAATGAACTCACTTAAATTTCACTGGACTTTGTTCAGCAATAAAGTCAAAAAGCAGAAGGGAGAACAACATGGAAAATATTAACAGAAATGGTGAGCTGAGGAACTAATGTTAATTTAACAAATTAGTCCAATTTTTTGGAAAGCAAACCAAGCTCAGTTTTAGAATCTGTGTGTACCTAGTCACTTTAGCAACATTGACGCTTGTCCTTATGTACTGAATAAAATGGTTTTCCTAGGTTAGCTAAGCTTGCATGGGAGTACTTCATTAGGCAATTGACAAAACTGAATAAAAAGCACTTTACAAAATGCCATTTCTGAATTTATTTTTAAACCCACTGCACTTTAAGATTAGTTACTGTACAGTGTATAGCAAATTATTTGAATCCTTTTAGAATACAACAATTACTTGGCAGTAAATATTTAAAAAATGGATAGTAACCATACAGCGAAATTTGATTTTCAAAATTATTCTTCTCTTATTGTTACATTATTCTTATTGAAAATATAAACTGTTCAACATCTTGTTTGCAATATTGCCAAACCAGAAGTCATAAGGAGGACTTAAGGACTTGTGATGTTAAGGGATGATACTCCAATACTCTAATAATTGATATTAAGTGGCCCAATACCTCCCTTACAGAGCCAAGATATAGCCACAATGATGAGCTATTTCCCACAGTATTAGTTTTTAAGCTCCACTTTTAAAACTAGTATTCACTGGAAGATTACATTGGTGCACAGAGACTCCAGTTAGTAATATTCTCACGTGTTCCCAATAAATCATCATCATCAACTTTTCAAGCTGCATAAACCAGTGACCTTCATTAATGTGAAAGTTAAACATCGTATCTTAATCATAAATAATGTGAAACAGCATTTTATTTACACAAACATTTATTTGCTATTTATTCATTCATTTTCACTGAGTAATCTTCAAGTCCTAACATCTATCATCACATCCTGCATATGGAGAAGACAAACATGATGAAAATGTAAGAATTTTGGTTACATTTATGCACAAGAATTGGGCTGCATTTATGAATTTAATAAGACAGTAGATGCTGACTAGATGTTAGAGAGGTTGAAGAATTTTATTCCCCTTCCCCTCTCTCCAAACACCAATGTTCTAACTGAAACATATACTGTACAGTATGTGGCTATTTCTTTATTTCTTTATTTGGACTTTCATGCTGCTTCAATTCATAGACTCTAAGCAGCCACATTCTTGACCAATCGTTGATTGACCAATCAACAAGGAAATCAGTCAGCTTCTCAGAATTTAAATATAGCACCAAACGAATGGCCAATCACACAATCAACTGACCACACTGGCACACAAGACATATATAAGCTAAAAAGGAATAGAACAAGACACTTCTACCAAAGTCCTACTGATGATGTTACCTAGCCTGGTAACAAAACATTTGGGAACTCAATTGCAAGCTCGGAAAGCTCGGAAAGCAAACCAATACAAGTATTTTCTATTATTTCACACACTTTTGAATATATTTCTAACTTACTTTGTTCCATGCAGATTAGAAAATAAACATTTGCATGTTCATTTATCCAATTGAAAGAGGACTGCTCCGAGTTCAGAGGCATCAGGATGAGAGCAAGAAAAGCTACAGAATAAGCAGCAACCGATTTGGGGCTGCACTTTCGCGATATAAAAGAACGAACCAGCACATTTTTTTGCACATAAATGTGAAGCTTGAATTATCAGAATCATAAATTAGAAACCTCTCTGTTTAAATGGAATCGCATGAGAGATATTTTATATAATGATGGAATCATAACATTAATTCATTATGTACTGTCAAGTTGGTGCTGACGCTTGGTGACCACATAAAGATTTTTTCCATGACATGATATGTCCTAAATCTGGCCTTTCAGGTGTTCTGACCCTTAGCCACTTTAAGTAAATCTATCCACTTTGTGGTTGAACATCAGATAGCTAGGTCTTCACGTAATGTGTCCAAATTCTCAATTCCCTGCTCAGTATAGGAATCAAAATTAAGGTTTCCCTGAGAGGTAATCAGCTGTTTGAAGACATTCAGTGTAGAGGAGTCTATCACCTCTCTGGGCAATTGGAATAGAGTAACAAAGTTGGAAGGGACCTTGGAGGTCTTCTAGTCCAGGGCTTTTCAACCAGTGGTACGGGTACCACCTATGGCACATTGGCACCTGGCAGGTGGTACGCAACCATCCTAGAAAAGTAGCGGGGGAGGGGAATGAGCTGAACTGGTGGCAGCACCGCATAAGCCTGAGCGAGAGATGGCTGGAGCTGCAGGGCTGTCAGGGCTCAGTGGAAGTGCCAGGATCAGTGCCAGGCTCCAGCTGGAGCTCAGTGCTGATCCTGGTGCTTCTGCTGAGCCCAGAAGAAGCACCGATCAGCTGGAATGTTGCAGCATCTCCAGGGTCTTGTGCTTTACATTCAGATGCTTGGCAACTGATTCATATTTATGATGGTCACAGTGTCCCAGGGTCATGTGAAGTGATCAAAACCTGCTGCAATCACCCAGCAGACGGGGGGAATAAAAACCAAACACCCCCCACCCCACCCCCGCTGCCAATCCTCAACAGAAA